ATTCCTTATTGGTCTAGAAAATCACCTGAGACCAGCCCCCAAGGCCTCCCAATAGTCTGCATTGTTTTTTAATGTCTATATCCATCAGAGCACATGGCCTCAGATTGTCCATATCTGCCCCGATGCCAACTGGCAGTTCACCGCCAAACTTTGGTTTGGGCCCTAATCTCATCTCCATGGACCCCTGCACATCTGGACAGGCTGTATCACCCAGTAACTGACCCCTCTATTCGCTATCAATCACCTCTGTTTTCTTAGTTCTGTATTTCTTGCTCTTTTTGAATGTTTAGTGTGCTTGTAATTAGGGAAATACTTTAATAAAAACTATTTAATTTACTCTTCAAATTTGGAGTCTTCCTACTGTACCAGACCTTGGTATAAACAAGTGTAGAGGTCCCTTGTACCCCTCTGGCCTTGCCTGCTGCATAGCTAATTTCCCCAAACAACAAGGCAGGGCATTGGTGGTAACACTAGCTCCCAGTCCAGACCTATAAGGAGGGCCACCATTATCTATTGTACACATCCAGAGTGGGTTCATTGGAGGGGGAAAAAGAACCTTCTACACAAGTATTCACTGAAATTTCATCCTTTTTCACTGTTCATTCACAGAAGCACAACACAGGTCTTGACAGGCAGCTGGAAAATAATCATGGCCATCAAAGGAAGGGATGGAAAGGTTACTAGACCATACATTTTGTTGAAGGGAGGTAATTTTTTTTAGGCAGCACAAGAGATACAGAGAGAGTAAAAAGCCTGAAGGACCATGCAAAAGTGGGGGTGGCAAGTCAGGCTGGGATAACACAGGTTATTTCACACACATTAGATAAAAAATGCACTTTCAATGCACTTTAGCAATAGTTTGCAAGTAGATTTTCCTGTTTTGCACAGGAAAATCCAGCTGCAAATAATTGCTAAAGCACATTGAAAGTGCATTATCCAACGTATGTAAAATTAGCCACAGATATTTATCCAAAATGTCTGGAGAGAGCCAACTGTATCTTTCTAGTAGTATTTTCACACTTGGTCACCAGAACAGCAGTTCTGGGTTGGTATTAATCTAGCACATTGCTGGGAGTGAGAAATTGCAAGTGTTAACATAACATTTGTATCAACTTTCGAATTTGTAAAGATGTCAAAGATGTGTGTAGACCACTGGAGAGTGGGATGATTGGTTGCTTTGAATATGAGGTGTGTGAACTGGGGAAACTGCAATAAATTTATGCAATAAATTGCATAAAATGGTGACTACTGAAATAGAAGTGAGATAGTCCGGATATGATATAATGGTTGTAGTTTGGACATGTGTACTTGGACCTAAGAATCAACCTGTTTTTGTGAGGAGAGGGCAACAGGCTGGGAGAATGACATTAGTATTCCCCACTAGCATTTAGCGGTGAGCTAGTTGTTGCCACTACACCTTGTTTATATGACCTCTTTCCTTGATGTATCAGTTCAGCATTTTCCAAAAAGTATCAAGTCTGTGAAAACCATAATTAGGAGATCTCAGTACCAGTCCCTCGTAACAACCTTATGCTACTCAGAGTAGCTTATTCAAAGTTCATAATTTGCATTTTCTTGGCTTACAGTATAGTTGTGGTATCCAACTATGATGTGACCCACACTTTTGAGTTCTAACCCAAAACCTAAAGATCCAAGTGGGAGGGGAGGAGCAGTGAGAGCTTCTGCCTGATATGCAGAAGTTCCCAGGTTCAACACCTGGCATCTCTTGTTCAAAGGACCAGGCAGTAGGTGATGTGAAAGACTTCTGCCTGAGCCGCTGCCACTATGATTACACAATACTGACATTGATGGACCAATGCTCTGATTCAGTATAAGGCAGCTCTTTGTGTTTGTGTGTATATTTTTCCTTTGTCTTCTAGATCATGCAGGAGAAAAGCTAATAAATCCTTTACCGACTATCAGAATGAATCCCCATCCCCGAGGACTTTTTATAGTATTGCAATGACAATGATGAAGATGGCATGAACTTATCTTACAGGGGAACCTACAGTATTTTCTTCATTAGTGCTAGGAGAGCAAGTCCTCTTTGAAGAGAAATTCATCCCTATGATAACCTGTTTGGCAGAGCACTTTTCCAGGATGACAAAAGTAAAGGTAGTCCTCCCCCCCCTCATAATAGTAGATATTCAAAATGGCAATTGGAAATTCATAAAGCTATTTAAATATTAAATGTGTTTTCATGAAGGCTTGGGGCATCATCTCCCCCTCCAATGCAAAACAATTAAGCTAATCTATGTACTGGAGAGTGCTCTATGCACAAGCCCTTCAGCAACCTCCAAGGACAGATCCACTGAAGCATCTGCTTAGAAAAAAAAATACCGTGTTCTTGCTGTTCCTACCATTTTGTTTGATCATGGAGAAAAGCAGTTTGGTTTGGGATGAGAAATACCATTTCAATAAAACACTGGCATCTATGTTTGGGACTTCACAGATCTGTCTTGGGGAGGGAAACCCTGCAAGGCTACCACTGGCCATAAATAGCAGCAGCGTAAGGAAAATGAACACAGGAATAGCATGAAGACTGAGAAACATGGATCTTCCACTCTAGGCTTTTCTCTCACAAAAGTGTTGCGCAATTGGATAATTATTTCTAACCATGCTCACCTATTGAGGATTAAGCTTTCCACTGATTCTCACTTGTGTGCAAAAGTGTTTTTTGCTTACTCTTTAATGTTTGAATTTATTATAGTCAAAGTAGTGAAGCACCCATGGCATGCTACAAAATCATCACGTTTTACTTACCTGGGCTGCATTTATGTGTTTGAAAACTGTAATCCAGAGTTTCTCAAAGACTTACTATCAAATTGCAATAAAATTGTTAACTTTACTACTTCCACTGTGTAATTGCTAGCAAGCAGTTTGACCCCATCTGCCATCTTCCGTGGAACAAGGCACCTTGGTCATTCTTCCTTCCTACTTGTAGGATATTGACTTTTCCATGCTGGGTCAGTCTGCAGAAGAATCCCTGTCATGCAGTTCATGAACCAGTTTAAAAGTTTTGCATGCCCAATGTGTTAGTCCTTTATCAGACTGTATTGATTTTTTTGGCAAGTTGTGCATTTTCTCCCATAATGTTAAAATGACCTCTTGCCTAACCATGCCATGAAAATGCTCTATGTTTACTTTAAACCTTCCAAATTCATCAATTCGTTTGAAAGAACATTTAAAAAATGACAACAATCTAACAGCTTTTAAACATCCCGTTACTCCAGCGTGCAGGTTTGGCTCGTTTTACTATATCTGAATGTGTAGAAAATGCCGGGAAGCTTCTTGTTTTCTTTCTTTTTTTGTTTTTACGAGAGTAGAAAGTTAAGTAAAATGAAGGAGCGAGAGGAGAAAGCGATGGCTGATAGACCATCAGCAGTACTCATAATTGAACCCTTTATTGTCTAAGGTACATTAGACTGCAACACTGTAGAAAACCTGTTAAGGAAAAGAAACAGATTGATAGAGGTAGTAGAAAGTCTCTGTAACAGTCAGAAGATGGCTTACAAAGTGTGTCATGCTACAAAATCATCAAGTTTCCTTAAAAAAAAAAAAGCTATTTGAAACCCACAGATCTAAATAAATAAGAGCACTAGGCTCTAACTGAATTAACAAATTGATACAATATGGATGATAAAAGGAGGAGATTACAAAGGTTGGGATTCACACGTGAAAACGGCTGCTCTTCAATGACGGTCCCCCTTGCCCTCCCCATTTCTTGTTTAATTAAGTGAAAATCTCATTTCTGTGCTATACACAGCATATAATTATTTAAACTGATTCCCCCTGCTGTTGTTCTTCATGTAGCTAAATTATGATTGTAAACTTTGCTGATTAGTACCCTGGTAATGGCAGTGACAGCCCTTTCTTCTCTCGGTGTCAGACAGTCCTGAAGTAAACAGTCTCCAGGAAGAACATTTCAGTTCTAAATATTAACTAAGATCCTTCCAGATCAGGGTGGGGAAAAAAGACACCCTTCCCCAAAACACAGTTCCAAAGAAAGAAAACCAAATCAACCAACAAAATAATTACAGCTGTAAATGACACGAGTTTTCTGATTTGGGGCACAGAAGCCTTTTTAATAACTACAAACACACAAATCGGCAATGCAGCTACCTTTGTGCATTCCTGAACCCTCACCTGTTTACTTCAAATGAAGAGAATAAGGGCTTGATCAAGAAAAAAAAAATAACACTTGAAGTGTGAATCCCAAATTGATCTATTATTATTCAAAACAGCAAAAGAGCTGATGGGGGGGGGGAGTTGGTGCAGGAAACAGGAAGGAGAGAGAAGTATGGAATGTGTCTATGTGAATTTCTGCAAGGTAACTTCAAAAGAGAGCTGATTACAATCAATCACTTATATAGGCATTTGCACAAACATTCTTAGCTACACCAGGATTACAGAGCACACTGGCATACAGCTGGTGTATGAGGGAAATGACTGGGGTGAAACCACACACACCCTCCAGATCCCAAAACCAGTAAAATTACATACAAATGTTACATCTGCACTACTTCAGCAACCGCAAAGCAAACAGTCAAGTAATTTGCAACAAGTAGAATCTCAAATCAAAGATAGACAAAATTAGAACAGAAAAATACATATTAAAAAAATCTTAGTGTAAGAAGCCTATTGACTACAAAAACAGCACTCTCCCATTATTATAGAAAGTAAACGGTTGCTCTCGACCAGTATTAAAAGTTAGCGCCATTTCTGTACATGTAAAATTATTGCTTTTTTGAAAAATATATTTAGCATGCTAGTTTTTTTTAAAATCCATTTCCTGCCTTTATAAAAATGTTACAATTAAAAAAAAACTAGTAAAGCTTTTTGCAAAAAATTTTCACAGAACATCTTTTTTTTCTTTCAAGGCAGCACTTTTTTGATAATGCATAAAACTATATGTGCAAAAATCTGAAATTCTGAAATTATTACTATCACACATAGTGTCACAGCAATAAAGGAAAAGAAAAATATTTATACCTGTGGAATACATTTTTTTTCTTCAACAAACTGCAGACACTGTGTGGTTAACAACCTACCACCTTCACCCCTCCCTGGAAAACTTGCATTTAAAAGAGTGATGGTAGAAGAGGTATATAAAGCTTTTTCTCCCCCACCCCAGTAGTCATCATGTACAAGACATGACCCATTAGATGAACACTGACCTGTCACTGCAGAAGAAATTACTCACCTCCCCCACCCATGTTACCAGGACCTAGAAAAGGTAACTGACTCGCTGCACAAAAATATAGGCACATAGAGCACCTTAGTGGCCTATGCCTGCCCGAACGCTTATTTTTTTCCCTGTTAAAAGCATACAAATCAGCAGCTTTAAACAGCTAAATCAAATGTCTTTCTCTTTTGAAATTTTGTTTAAGCATGCACATTTCCTTTGTGATCAGGTCTCAGAAAGTAGCGCTGTTAAGAAGGGGGGGGGAGCAGAAGCAAGAAACAAATAGAAAGGCCCTGAGAGTAAAAAAAAAACACAGAAGCCTGTTTTTTTTCCTTTTCTTAGTGTTTGACTAGCTGTTTTCTTTCCAAAGCGAGAAGAGAATCATTTCTTAAGAAGTGTTTCGATTTCCATATTCACGTACTATTAATGGTGTGCAGTCAAGGATAAGCCCACTGGAAACACAAGTGGTCCCCAAACTATCATGAAACAACCTCATTGCAGAATGATGGCCTCTCTCTTCAGTCCCTTCTGTCCTTCATCAAGCCTGGCTTTCACAGCACTGAATGACTCCTCCATTTCACTTTCTTTCTTTTTTTTTAAAAAAGAGTTGTTTTTCCAGCATGACAGCCAATGCAGCCAATGGCAGTTTCATTAATCACTACTTCCCACATTCCCAAATCCACTTTGGTTGTTTTTCTCTTTTTTAAAAAAACAAACAAACATATCAAACAAGCCATCACAACCATAAGGGAAGATTTTGTTGCAGTGCTGCTCTCCAAATCATATAAAGTTTAATTTTTCCAGTGTCTAGAAAAGTTATCTTGATTAATATAGATGCCTTGTACCGCCACAGTGCTTGCCAACTCCACTGTTTATTATAAAGGAAAAAAGGAACCAGGGGAACTGATTAGTACGTCAATTTGTATATATCTTGTGTAGCTTCTTCATTTGTTTTAAAAATGATTAACAGTTCGGAGGCATCGCTCTTCTAGCAAAGCGTGGGTCTCTCGCTATAGCACAGTCGCTCCAGGGACTGGATGGTTTGCAAGGAGATTTTCCAGATGTTCTTCTGTAGGGTTGATGGAATAATGATTCGGAGGTGGTTGGAAGCGTCGGTCGGGGTACTGGCTGTTGTCAAAGGGTACCCGGTGTACACACTGGACGTGTGTTTTTAGGTTCCCTTTCTGAGAGGCACTGTATGGACAATATCTGCATTGGAATGGTCTCTCGCCTACATGAAAGGGGGGGGGGAAGCACAAAATAGAAGAGAGACAGCAGCTTATTATTCCTCGTATTTTCCAATGACAGCTTACCTACCCCTATCTCCACTTCCAGGCTAGAACAGCTGAGCAATCTTACATCTTTACAGGCCCTAGCTACCTTTTTTTATTAGCATTATGTGCATTAACAATGATCTAATACATCACCAAGAGTTATTTTTAATCATCTCAATTGAGAGCACAGCACGACAAGTTCCTATAAACTCTATGACATACTAGAATAGCAAATAATAGTGACTGAAGGAGCATTTACGAAAAGGTTAAGAATGGCTAGAAGAAGGAGAAAAGACTAGGAGGGAAAGAAAAATTTTATAGCAATGGAGGGGATTTATAACAGAATTGCAGGGCATTTTTTTTAATTGCTTGCAGTGGCAGTGCTGGATTAAAGTTCATGGGTGCCATATGCTAAACCACATTCATGGGTTGCAAGCATTGCTGGCTCTTATGACACATTTGCCTGAAGTCACTCAAAAGAAGCTGTTCCACTAAATCCATGTGCAAGTATAGTCTATGTGATCAGTAGGTATAGTGATTAGAGTGCTGGACCAGGATATAGCTGACCTGGGTTCAAATCCCCACTCATTTTGGGTGACTGCGGGCCAGGCATTCTAACCTACCTCACAGGTTTGTTGTTGTGAAGAAAAGAAGGGGAAAGGAGAACTATACATGCCAAGATGAGCTCCTTGATTGAAGGGTGGGAGATAGTTGGGTTCTTCCTGTTGGGCAGACTACTTTGGATTCTCCTCTCAGCTTAGAATGAAACTGTTTCTCATGCAATGAGAGGAGAGCTCATATGGTCTGTGCTGTGAGATTTTAAAGGAAGTAGGCAATGGCAAGGTGACCCCTATTTTATACTCTTCTGATTATTACACTACAATTCTTTGCCTCCATAACAAGAGACCCTAAAAACACCGATCAGCTCTAATGTGGGGGAAACACAACTTATAATGATTTGGTAGAAGTATGTTATTCTGCTCCTGTGAACAGAATCCACCTAATTCGTACACGCAAGAAGCCATTGTATACAAATTGTCCAGTGTTCCCTCTAAGCTGAGTTAGTATGAGCTAGAGTTAGTGTGAGCTAGCTCACAGTTTTTTAGCCTCACACATTTTTGTCTTGGCTCAGGAAGGATGGCTCCATAGCAAACTAATCTATCCAGTTGCCTCACTCATAACTTTAATGCCAGTAGCTCACAAAGTAGAATTTTTGCGCACAAGACTCCACAGCTTAGAGGGAGCATTCTCTACTCTATTTCTACCACATGCTCATGAACTGCTAAATAAAACTGTGCATTGGCATGGGGCTGGCACATGGGCAGACACTTTATACACATGAAGCTATCTCCAGAACACTTTGGTTCAAGTGATCGCCCTCAAAGCTGCTTGTATCTGACAGTGTGGTCCCACTGTTAACGAGATGTGTTGAACTGATTACCATTCCAATAAATTGGGGTCTCCTCCCTGAAACAAAGCACCTCCAGTCACAGACTGGGGTGCTTCAGTGTCTTTGTGACCCACTAGCATAGATGAATATAAAAGGGGATTAGACAGATTCATGGAGGAGAAGTCTGTCAATGGCTATTGCCCATGGTGACTAAAAGGAACATACATTTGGAGGCAATACACCTCTGAATATCAGGCAGCATCAGGGGGAAGCCTTGGCCTCTGTGCCCTGTTTGATGGCCCTCCAGGGAAACTGGCTGGCCAGTGTGTGAAACAGACAGACCACCGGTTTGATCCAGTGGGACTTTTCTTATATTCTTAAAGAGACCTTAGGGTAATGATCAAACTATTCAGTTTTTTAGAGCTACAAAGAAAAGAAACAGTACAGTTCTGATACAGGCACATCCGATCATAAGAAAATCAGCTGATTTTCAGAAAGTAAATTTACCATGTTGAAAACGTACATGGGCTATTCTAGAACAAACTGAATTTCAAAATGAAGTCATGAATAAACGGAACCCTACAGCTCCTAGGCAATGGAATTTCAACTATTACTGTCTGAACAATGTGGCTTACGTTCTTGACGGTTAAAACTATATAGCAAGATGCATCTTACATTCATACATTAACCTTAAGCTAAAGCCTTGATGAAGGGAAACAGACCATTTTACATTAACACAAGATGCAACACCCATGTTAAAATATTCCCTGTAAATTTCAAGTTGTGCCTATGGCTGCCTGGAAAGAGCTCAAGAAGAGCCCATGTGACTTGACATAACGTATTAAGTATCTCTCTTTTGTTAATAGATGTAGAAAACTCCTAATTAAAGCAAGCCCAAGATTCATGACATTTACCAGTCAAACTCTGCAGTGAGTTGGGCAGATATGGAACAAAATTAAAGGGGGGGGGGTGGAGGGTAAGCTGCTGTGCAGACTGCAGTATATTTGAAATGTAGGAAATGGTAACTGAGTGAAAGATGTGATAAAACTTCCTTAGTTGGACGCTGGGTTTCTTGCAGTAAAGTAAGAAAGATGGCTTATAGTTTCGCATGGCTACATTATGCCTAAGACATAGACACACAATTCCAAAAGGGGACATTCATCATTAAATTAAAAATAAACCACACACACACACACACACAACATTGCACTGTTCAAGGCTATAGGTACTCCTGTCAGTATGGGAAAGCTCCTCTATAATGAGAGGCAAAAGGAACAGCTTGCTCCAATTTCTCTGGGAAAGAATAGTCAGAAAAACACAAAAAGAGAAGGAAGAGATGGAGAGATAAGGAAGAAAGGACACTGCCCTAAAGGTATAATTAGGGGTACTTATGTGGGGCAACCTTCATACTTAGTGATTTCATAATAAAGGTTGCCCTAGAGGTTCAGTTGTAATCCACCCACTGAGGAAAACCACAAATCTCAAAGAAAGATGAAAGAGGTATCACTGTCCCACAACGTAAGAGCAAAACGAAGGCCAGAGGCTGAGGCAATGTATGTATATGGGGGCGGGTGTGTGTGAGAATTCTTCTCTAAGCAGACCAAGTTGGCAGAATTCTCTCTGGGCAGAGCTCCAGAACAGAGGGGCACAGCTAACAAGCCTTGCCACCAGCGTGTTAAGTAAAATAAGACCATGGCTCTCTGTGCTAAATTAGAATATGTAATTATCTTCTGTGAAGGAAAGTGCTAAAGAGACATGAGCGGGTGGAAAGACTTAAAAAGGAAGTTTGGAGGAAAGTTTACCTGTTATGTGGGGAAGAGATGAACTGCAGTCATTACAGGCTGGGACATACACTGAAATGCGGAGGCTCCACTAAAGATGCCAGATATAAAGATGGCAGGAAACTGAGGGCTATTTCAGTGGGCTTTAAACCATCATCTGACTGCATGGCCATAAAAACTGCCAGCACATGCGGCAAGTAAGCATTAGAACGTCCATTTTTTCCAAACCAAATTGAATGCCTCTGATTAAATAAATGTGACAGTGCAATCAGAGGACAGGGCCACTGTTAAAGTAGAAGCCCTTTGGCCCATGGCGGGCGGGCGGGGGGTAGACAGAAATTTTTTTTGCCATAAATTTCTTGAAAGGTCCAACTTACATGACTGTATTAGTATATCGAGAGATAAGCTGCATGATCCCAGGGTGCCATTTTGATTGCAAGGAAGATCATAATGCCCCTGCAGACCAGCCAAAAGTGAACTGTGCAGGAACATGGAGACCTACAGGGTTGGTTCAGGGCATTAAACTACCCAGAGCTACTAACGGCATACAATTTTGCTGCTAGATCCTTTGCAATGAAACAGAAGATAATGAAAGGCACCTTTCAGACTGCGCATGGCTTTCCCATGTAGTAGCACAAACTTTGGTAGCATGTGAGGTCAAATGTAAGCCAGTTTGCTAGTACTCTAAGTTCAATGCAAAATAGTAAAGGAATGTGCAAACATGCAACTGAGCTCTGAACTGTTTCTGGATGTGACAAAAGAAAAATCAGAAGAACCGGCACTAAAAAATGGCACCACTTCCAAATTATCAAGACAAACAATAAAATTTCCTTTAAATATACCCGGAGCAGGAAACCAGTCAGATTTGGGCCTTTGGATGACCAAGGAATAAAGGGATTGCTAAAAGAAGACAGGGAAATGGCAGAGAAGCTCAATTACTTTTTTGCTTCTGTGTTCACTGTGGAAAGTGTGGGACATGTATGCATGCCACAGCCACTGTTTTCAGGAAGAGAGTTTGAAGAACTGAGTCAAATTGAGGTGATGAGAGATGAAGTTCTAGAGCTACTGGGGGAATTAAAAAACCATAATTCTCCAGGTCCTGATGACATACACTCAAGAGTTCTTAGGGAACTCAAATACGAGATTGTTGATCTACTAACCCATATATGTAAGCTATCACCAAATTCAGCTGCTGTACCAAAAGGCTGGAGAGCAACAGATGTTACACTGATTTTTTAAAAGGGTCCAGAGGGGCACCAGAAAATTATGGACTAGTCAGCCTAACATCTGTCCCAGGCAAATTAGTGGAAATTGTAATTAAAGACAGAATTATTAGGCACACAGAGGAAAAAAGCCTTCTCAGGGAAAATCAGTATGGCTTCTGCAAAGAGAAGTCCTGCCTCACCAACCTTTTGGAGTTCTTTGGGAAAGTGAACAAGCATGTAGACAATGGTGACCCCTGCAGACATTATATATTTGGACTTTTGAAAGGTTTTTGACAAGGTACCTCACCAAAGACTCCTGAGTAAACTTAGCAGTCATGGGATAAGAGGACGATTTCTCTTATGGATTCAAAACTGGTTAAATGCCAGGAAGCAAAAAGTAGGAATGAACGGACAGTTCTCACAATGGCGGGAAGTAAGCAGTGGGGTCTCACAAGGATTGGTATTGGGGCTGGTACTATTTAATGTGTTCATGAATTATTTGGAACCAGGGGTGAGCAGTGTAGTGGCCAAGTTTGCAAATGACACAAAATTATTCAGGATGGTGAAAACCAAGGATAACT